ATCATCTCGAGTACTGACTTTCTTGTGATATTCTATTTGTGCTTATCAGGTCTAAAAGTATTCAGTGAAATGATACTGACTTTCTATTGTGGTAAGAGACAAGCCTATGGCTGAAAGAATTAAATATCAACTTTTATCAACTCTAATCCTGTGCTTTTTTGTGTTTCTTTTCCTTGTTGATGTGAGTTTCATGATTCCAGGCATTAAGTAATACCTAAAAAAGGCCATTTCCTTTTAAATTTGTCAAGTCATCGCTAGAGGAGGCATATGAAATGGGTATCTCAGTACAGCTTGGAATAAGGGATCTCATAATAAGAATAATATTTATAGCTGCCCTGAGTTGATTGAATCACAGAGATTGTCATCTCTATTTATCTACCACCAAATTGCAGCATCAATTCTGATTAGGTTTAAAAAAGTTTTGTATGATTGAGACCATGGAATATTTCAGACAATAATGTTTGAATTTAGTTTTAAGTAATTGAGAAAGAAAACTAGGTTGAGATGTGGATTTCTTCTGAAATTACGTGGAATGATACCCTCCTGTGAATTGAGACCAACAATGAAGCTTATTTGGGTTTTGTCAGTATGTAAACAACAGAAGAACTGAATTCTGACTTTTGAAAAATTATGTAGAAGGAATGAGGTGAAAGTTAAATGAAAACTGAAATAAAGGTGGAAGTTAAAAAAATGAATACAGGCTGATATATTAAAATATATTTAGATCTTACTGATTTCCTTGTTTTAAAATGGAACAATAAACCACTGGCTTGGCTAATACTTTCCATCTTTTGTCCAACAGGGCCATAGAGGTCCCCCTGGGGTGCCAGGTTTGATGGGAAATTCTGGCAAACAGGCAAGATCATGAATCTTATTCTAAATGTCTAGAAAAATGAAAAACTTGTTTTGTGTTATGCAAAAAAATCACTTTTCTAATTTGTTGCGTTCTTCCAATCCTCAAAACAGGGTCAACAAGGGCCAGAGGGAGAAGCAGGTCCAACAGGACCCCGGGGACCACCAGTAAGTACTGAATACATTTCCAACTGAGTGTGTGCAATATTGCAGTGTCTCAAGTTATGGTTGCTGACTGAAGCTAACCACGAGGTAAAAATACTCAGCACCAGGGCTGATTCTGAAGGTAAGTACTAGGTGTTCTTTAATCCCCTTCTGTACCAGGTGGATGTGCATCATCACACAGAAAAATCCAGAAGCACAAGTCCTGTGACTGTTAAATTAAATTTTAAACCTTTGTTTATATACTTCTGGTCTTTGTTTTTAAATATGCTGAGTGAAAGCCCAAACTCCCTCATGTCTCAAAGCAGGCTGGGGACAAACAAATTGCATATGGGGAGTAGTGTCTTGCCTTTCCCAAAACTGTTCTTGGGCATTATCTAGAAAAGTGCCGTTTGCCTGAGACAAAAGCATCCTAGCAGTTTGTCATGGGTGATGGTGGGATGCTGCTTGGGCCTGTGCCTTGGCCCTTTCTGGTTGGCATTCTGAATGCAGCTGTAGCGATGTGAAGTATAGCATTTATCTGTCCTTGGAAACACTGATGTTGTTGTTTCTTTCACTGGAGATTTTCCTTAACACTAGAAAGGTTTGAAAGACAGGAGAAATCGTTGCTGGGCAGGTAGCCTGCTGCAGGAAATAGATGTGCTAAGGACAGTGAACTGATGGCATTTGCTGAGGCTCAGTGTTGAGGACAACTGTTCCCAAGACATGCTTGGGGTACTCGGGAGTTTCCTGGGTACAGATTCCCATTATTTCCATTATTTCATAATAGTTTTACTTGCGCAGTTGTAGGGTTATCCTCGTAAGGACTTAGAGAGTTGCTGATAGGGATGTATTTGTAAGGGTGTTTTATGGATCAGGAGTATCTCTGAATTAACTCTTAAACATGCAGCCATGTATTTTGCTTTCTGTTTTCTTCTGGGGTTTGCATTATCGTGTGCTTAATGCATTAATTCATGAGATCACATTCATTTTAGACTGAATCTTTGAGTGAGTGCTGTGTCTACAGCTTCCTGTGAATGATAGAAAAAGGGGATTATATGAGCATGTACTTACTAGGATGGAGTAAAGGTCTCTTCAGCCTCCCATATACCCAGCTTGCTGTTAGTGTTTAAAAGTGTTGGGTGCACTAGAAAAAGTTTTCAGCCCTGCTTTTCTTGGGCTGATTTTTTGTATACTTGTAACAGGAATAGGAGTTATAACTGAATCACACCAAAGTAATTGCCCGCTCTGATAATGCACTGTAATCTGCTCAACTATGCTTCTAATCCTTTCAATGTGAACATGAATTTACAAAATCAGCAGTCCATACAACAAGAGTTGACACACAAGGTTAATTATTGGTAACCCTGCGGTTGGACAGAAATACTTAATGCAGATTAAATACAGTGATTTTTCTGTTTATTACTCTAGGGACCAGCAAGACGTCTGGATGTCTTGCCTTTACTTTTTGTCTTTACACAGTGCAGTCATTTTGGAAAAGATGTGAACATTAGGATGAAAGAATAGGAGGAGGAGAACTTCTGTCCATTCAAAATGGAGAAAGGAAGGGAATTATTGATAACAAAATAACTTTGCAAGTGGAAAATTAAATGTTAATCCTCATCTCATCTATAGTTCCTTTAAAGCTGTAAAGAGCCTTGAATTATAACTGTTTAGCTTCCTTCTGCTCGAGACCACAGGCAGCTTATGGCTGGAGTGGCTTTCTGTTTTCCTTTTGGGAACTGAATATTTTTGTGGGCTTTTTTTTTCAGATTTTGAAATTTCCTCACAACTTTAACAAGTTAACGATGTTTCTGAGCAAAGTTTTATAACCAAACACTTTCAGAGGATCTCCAGTCAAGGTTTGTGGGGAGGTAACAAGGCTGACTCAGCTAATAAGGACAGCAGGCTGGTATCTGCACTAGGGAAAAATCACATGCCTACATTGATGTTTTATTTTAAAATTTGCCTGATTTTTCAGCTGTAGTTACAAAAACCATCTTTTTGAGAGACAATTTTCAACTCATGTATAGTTTTTTGAGGAGTTACACTCTTAAGCAATCACAGAATCACAGAATCACAGAACGTTAGGGATTGGAAGGAACCTCAAAAGATCATCCAGTCCAATCCCCCTGCCGGAGCAGGAACACCCAGATGAGGTTACACAGGAAGGCATCCAGGCGGGTTTTGAATGTCTGCAGAGAAGGAGACTCCACAACCTCTCTGGGCAGCCTGGTCCAGTGCTCTGTCACCCTCACTGAGAAGAAGTTTCTTCTCCAATTGAAGTGGAACCTCCTGTGTTCCAGTTTGTGTCCGTTACCCCTTGTCTTATCATTGTTTGTCACCAAGAAGAGCCTGGCTCCATCCTCGTGACACTCACCCTTGATACATTTCTAAACATGAATGAGGTCTCCCCTCAGTCTCCTCTTCTGCAAACTAAAGAGACCCAGCTCCCTCAGCCTTAGCACATAAGGGAGATGCTCCACTCCCTTGATCATCTTTGTAGCCCTACGCTGGACTCTCTCCAGCAGTTCCCTGTCCTTCTTGACCTGAGGGGCCCAGAACTGGACGCAATATTCCTGATGCCGTCTCACCAGGGCAGAGTAGAGCAATGATCAGTACCTCTGTGGGAGAAGGAAATACTTCTGTACTGGTATATAGCCTGTAGCAGAAACTAGGTTATTTCAGTGTTTTCTTCATTAATTGGCAACTGTTGGAGTGTAGTTGGAGCGGCATCGTTGTTAAGCAGCATATTCAAATGTTGGCCTTTTGCAAATCTGTAAACTTTTACAGTTTCCCAGGGAAGATGTTAAAGGGTTGGAAAGAAGATAGCCACCTGTAATTAAAAATAGGTGAACTCCTGTGTTGGGAGACTCTTACCTCACTGGAAACAAATCTCCCTAGGAGAAATATACTTTCAAAAGTACCATTTTAGTCTATCATAGATTTTTCCTTAAAAACCTTTAATTTTAAAATTTAGAAAAAGTTTTAATTAAGTTTATGTAGTTTACTCTTCATCTGCTCAGTAAAACAGAAAAACAACTGGAGCAGCATTGACAATTTTGTCGTTTGTTTCTCAATGAAACACATTCTCCACTCCACTCCAATTGTTTTGTCAGTTAACCTTTTGTTTGCTTCACTTTATGGTAGTCAATCCAATTAATTACCAAACTCATTTGTGATTTCAGCCTTTCTAAGCCAGTCCTCGTGGCAGGTGGCCCGAAGGAAGCAATGCTCATACATGAGTGTCGTTCCTAATCAGAGGAATTTAGCCATGCTCCCTAAGCTGCTTAACCATTTTCTTTCATATTTGCTGAGATGTAGTAAGATTTAATTTTTTTGTATCGCATCTGCAGAAAATATTGACCCCAACTTTGCTTTTTCTTCAGCTATTTAACCTTTAACATGTATCCCATCCTGTGGTTTTGCAGTGAAAAGAGAGCTTGGCACATTTAGGTAACCATTTAACTTTAAAGTTCGATACTTGCCTAGCAAATGGAGCAAACTCTTGACTCAGGTCAGCACATACATGTTGTTAAGGATTTCGGATGCAATACTTGTTTTCCTAACATTCACAACAGAGGTGAAGTATCTCGCTGCTGATTTGCTCTCTGGAGGTGCCTTTTTCTTTCTGCTCATTACAAAGAGACCTGGAGAGAACCTTGAATTTGGTACTAAAATGTCAGACAAAGTCAGATGAGAAAGCTCTTTTCAGCATCTTAAACTACTTTCAGCTAAGTAATTTTCAGAGCCTTTTGTCGTGGTTTAGGGCTGGGCTGGCC